CCATATGCAAAATAACCCTGGACCCAAACCTCACATCTTATATAAAAATTAACTCAGAATTAACCATATATCTAAATGGAAAACTATAAAACTTTAGAGAAAAACATCAAAGAAAAACTTTGGTGTTAGCTAGAGTTCTTAGGTATGATCCCAAAACATGATCCATAAAAGAAAAAACTGACAACTTGAATTTAATCAAAATGTAAACAGTTTTCTCTGCAAAAGATACTGTTAAGAAATGGAAAGATATGCCACAGGCTGGGAGAAAATATTTGCAAATCATATATTCAACATTGGACTTGTATCCAGAATATAAACATATATATAACTCGGTTTTAAAAAAACAAACCCAACAACAAAAAAAAGGGCAAAAAATTTAAACGTTTCACCAAAGATGATATATGAATGGCCAATAAGCACACGAAGAGATGCTCAATATCACTGGCCATTAGGGAAATGCAAGTCAAAACCATGATGAGATATAACTACATACCTATTAGAAATATAAATTGGTGAGGATGTGGAGCGACTGGAACTCTTATATTTTTCTTGGTGAGAACACAAAATGGTACAGTCACTCCAGAAAAGTCTGGAAGTTTCTTAAGAGTTAAATATACACTTACCATATAAGCCAGCAATCCCAATTCCACATCATAGAGAAATAAAAATACACGTTCACACAAAACTCTGTACAAAAATTTTTACATTAGCTCTATTCATCATTGCCAAAAACTGGAAACAACTCAAATGTCCTTCAACAGCTAAATGAATAAACAAACTGTGGTACATACATATAATAGAATACTACTCAGCAATAAAAAAGAATGAACTATCTATACACATGACAACTTGGATAAACCTCAAAGGCATTATTTTGAGTGAAAGAAACCAGTCTCAAAAAGTTATATACTGTTATGATTTCAGTCATTTATCATTCTGAAAAAGGCAATAGTATAGCAACAGCGACAGATTATTGGTTGTCAGGAATCAGGAGTAGAGGGCGTAGCTTCACAAGGATAGCAGGAAGGAGTTTGGGGGCGTCATAGAACCACCATGTATCCTGATTGTAGTCATCATTACCCAAATCTATACTAGCTTCAAAAGTCACAGAGCTGCTTTACTGTACGCTCATTTGAAAAAAATATTCTTAAAACACTAAGATTCATGTAAAAAAAGGGAGATACAGACATATATGCTTATACACAAATACCCTTCCCTGTAAATACACAGAAGAAATGAGTCATAGTGGTTGTCGTGGCAGGGGGATGAAGCTGGGTAACTGAGGTTTAGGGATGGGAAGGGCAATTATTTTATGCCTCTCTGTATTACTTGAATTTTTTCCTACAATAAAATGAATCTCCTATTCAAAAACATTGTTTTAAAACAAAATATAAAACACTGGTGCATATGGATATATTGAAAAATATGTGAAAATTTTAAGAGATATTTTGCTTATAAGTGGGACATAGAGATTCCTTTTGGGAAAATTTAAACGTTTTGGAGATGGATGGTGGTGGAGGTTGAACAACAATGTGAATGTATTTAATGAGACTGAACTGTATACTTAAAAATGGTTAAAATAGTAAATTTTGTTACGGACATTTTACAATAAAATTCAATCTAATTAGAATATTAGCAAAAGACTTGAACAGACACTTCACCAAAGATGAATTGCACATGAAAAGATATTCAATATCTAATTAACCATTAGAGAAATGCAAATTAAAGTCATGAGGGATACCACTATACATCTATTAAAATGGCTAAAATTAAAAAATATTAGTATCAGGTGCTGGCAAGGATCCAGAGCAAGTGGATATTTTATACATTGCTGGAGGTAATATAAAATGGTATGGCCACTCTGGAAAAACAGTTTGTCTATTTCTTAAAAGTTAAACATACACTTAACCATACAATAGTACTGCTGGGTACTAACCTGAAAAAATGAAAACTTATGTTCAAACAAAAACCTCTAAACCAATGTTCATAGCAGCTTTATTGGTAATAGCTAAAACTGGATACAACCCAAATGTCCTTCAATGGATGAATGAATAAACTGAGTTATACAACTATTCGGCAATAAAAAGGAATGAAATGTTGATACACACAACTTGAACGGATCTCAAGGGCATTAGGTTGAGTGACACTAGCCAATGCCAAAGGGTTACATATTGTAAGATTCCATGTATAAAACATTCTTGAAATAACAAATTACAGTGATTGAGAACAGATCAGTGGTTGCCAGGAGATAGGGGTGGCATAAGGTGTGACTGTGAGGTAACATGAGGGAGTTCCTTTGTGGTGATGAAACAATTCCGTATCTTGGTTGTGGTGGTAGTTACATGAATCTGTATGAGGTAAAATTCTATAGTACTGTACACACATGCAAAAGAATGCATTTAAAACTGGAGGAAGCTGAATAAAGTCTCTCTCGAGATAATAGTATTGTACAAATGTCAATTTGGGAGAGTTGATAATGTGCTATGGTTATATAAGATTTATCATTGGGCAAAGCTGGTTGAACTCTTTGTACTATTTTTGCAACTTCTTATGAGTCTTAAAAATCTTTCAAAAGAAAAAATTATAAGAAAAAAAGGAGTAAACTATTGAAACACTTAACAATATGGATGAATCTCAAAAACATTTTACTGAGCTAAAGATGCCAGAAACAAAAGAGTACATACACATCCTATAGTTCCTTGTATTTTAAGTTCTAAAACAAACTAAAATATGATGAAGGAAATAAGATCTGTGGTTTCCTGTGGGGTGATGTGTGGGGAATGACTAGGAGGAGACATGAGGGAAATTTCTGGGGTGGCGGAAATGTGCATTTTGTGTGTAAGCTACATCTAAAAAGTTGGGAGGGTGGCGAAAAGCCTTCTTTAATAAACCTTGCTTGCAATGACACAAAACTAAGTTGATCAAACCCACAGAAATTGAAATTTTTGGATAAAGGATTACCTGACCTTTAGGACAAATGTTCCTGTAACTTTGGAAAGTTTTAATTCTGAGAGAGAAGTGGCCTAGTTGGCCTATTTACACTTTCAAATCCCTTTCTGTAAAATCTACAGTTTATGAATGCAGACTGGTTTTGTAAAGGTTATGGATTTAAAATTCAGCACTTTAATCTTTTTGTCTTTTATGCTTAAATTGAAAATTGTGCTTAGCTTTTCCAAACTGGCCGTTTATAGAGTTTGAAAGGAAAATACATGTACCGATGAATATACCTAATGTCTGAAACACCTACAGTCATTATTTCAAAAGAAAATATTCTCAGCTGAAGCTAGCTGAGTCCTGCAGAGTCACATTGCGCCCCTGACTCAGCCCACCAGATTAGCTGAAGAGACTCAGTGTTCCTGGCTTTTTTGACTCTTTATGTAAATAGGATCCAAGAATACAATCCTTTGTCTGGACCACAATCCAAATTCTGGCTTCTCTTTGGATCATTGTTCCTTCACCTGAGGTCTCCTTTTATTTTGTAATTCTAATCCTGAAATCTTCCAGTGCTGCATGGTGGGAGAGGTGGGAAAGCTGAGACATTTTCATTCTAAGCAGAACCCAGAAACCCCTAAGGGTTAACAACTCAAATTTAAGGGTTTCTCAGGGATGCTGTAGCTGTCTGGGAAGTGCTGGAGTTTCCTGCCAAGGACTGCCAAGACTAGATAATGGCACCAAGTGAGGAGACTTGGAAGGTCTTGACTCTATACCTTAGAGAACATCTTTTCATTTTACAGATGATGAAGCAGAGACCCAGAGATTAAAGGCCATCTCTGTGCAGCTGTCCCCAAATTTATATCTCTATCCCTGCCAAGCTTCTAGCTCTAGGCTCCTATATCAAACTTTGATATGACCCAGTCATCTAAATTGCCTATTCAAAATAGACTGACTCCCACCTGCTCCCAGGCTCCTCCCCCTCACCCATACATCCAACCACACACAAACACTCCCCCAAATCTTCCTCTACTCTTCCTCTTCCTTCACAGCAATTCTATTGGTTCCAGTCCCAAATAAGTCTCAAACCTGTCTCCTCTCTTCATCCCTAAACTACCCCCTAGTCCAGGTCTCTATGCAGAAGACTTCCTGGAGTCTACCTGCTTTTGCCCTCCTCCTTCACCTATCATTCTCACTCAGCAACCAGACAAACTCTTGCGATCTAGTCACTCCCTTCAGCACCACCTTCCCAGAGCCCTAGATTAAATCCAGACTCTGAGGTTGCAGACCTCAGACTGCAGCTCACGGAAAGATTTTGTTTGGAATATCTTGGGGACAAGTGGGGACCACATTGTCCTCAGTGGTCCCACCTGACTTCCAAGGGTCAAACTGAGAGGAATGAGAGGAAGCTTCCAGAAGCTACCAGAAACAGGTGTTTGGCCGGATAAGGCCTCCTGTAAATGCAGGTTGTTGTAACCCCTTCCCAGACAGGACCCAAACTTCTGCTTTAGGAAGAAATGAAAAAAAAAAAATACCGTTTTGAGTCAATCTTAAATTCAAATCTTGGCTCATTTAACTAAGCTCTGCTTTTTATCCACCTGTGAAATGGAGATAATTACAATACTAATTACCCGAGAAGGTTCCTATGAGAATTAAATGAGCTATAAAGCACTTACCACAGCACACAGTAGGTGCTTTACGATTCATAAATGAAATCTCTTGAACTCATTCTAAGGAACCCACAGACAGTGCTGTCCAGGGACTAATAAGGAGGTAAGTTCCCCGTCACTAGCGTGTGTGCAAGCGCTGAGCTACTAGGTGCCCAAAGAATTTCAGTCCCATCAGAAAGCTAGCCCAAGGTTTCTTAAGGTTCCCCGAGCTTCGAGTTATGCCCTCAAAGTCTGACTTTTGGTCCCCGCGCTTCAAGCACCACCCAGGAATGAGTTCCCGGAGTGCACCCGGCGTGTCAGTAGCCGCCCGCTCTCAACAAAGTTCATGGGAGTCGACTCCCGGGAGAGAGGTCTGACAACAACACGCGACACCCCGGCCTCTCACACGTTGCGGGCTGGGTGGGGTACGCAGGCGCCGCGCTCTGCCATTGGCCCGCGCGGGGTAGGCGAGGCTCCATACGTCTGCCGCCCGGCTGTGTTGTCATTTGGCGGCGGCTAGAGGACACGGTCAAGATGGCGGCGGTGTCGGGGCTGCTGCGTAGACCCCTTGAGCAGGTAGGCAGCCGCTCTCGGGCCGCGTGACCCTGCGCTCCCCCTGCCCACCCTGCGCTCCCCCTGCCCACTCTGCGTCTCCTCTGAGCGTCCTTTTTCTCTTCCCGCCAGGTGTCCGGGCTGCTGAGGAGGCGCTTCCACCGGACAGCGCCGGCGGCGCTGCAGGTAGCTGGCTTGGACCCTAGCCGGGCAGGGAGGGAGGGGCCCCTCGTCCTGGGGCGGAGGTCCGGGTCGCCCCTGACCGGCGGCCGGTGGGCACTGAGAGGAGAAAGGCGTCCGCTGGCCTTGAAGTCTGCGGACTCCCGCGTCGGACTCGTGCTGCCTCTGCTGAGGCGGGCCGCAAACACACCAGCCTGTTATCCCCTCTACGCTATTGGAATCCGATGGGCGATCTGAGGAAACTAGTCTTGATGCTTCTTCCCTTGAACCCCCACCTTTTTATGTTTTGTTGTAAAATACACATAACACAATTTACTATTTCAAAGTGAGTATTTAGCAGCATTAAAGCCATTCACCATGTTGTGCGGTCATCACCACCATCCATCCTCAAAACTTTATCATCCTCTCAAACAAACTTTGTAGTACTCATTAAACAGTAAGTCCCCGTATCCTCTTAGCCCCTGGTAACCTCTACTGCACTTTCTGTGTCTATAAAATTATCCATTCTTGGTAGCCCTGTAAGTGGAATCATACAATTTTTGTCCTTTTACGTCTGGCTTATTTCACTTAGCATAATGTCTCCAAGGTTTATTCATGTTGTAGCATGTGTCAGAATTTCATTCCATTTTAAAGGCTGCATAATATTCTGTTGTATGCATATACATTTTGTTTATCCTTACATCTTTTCCACCTTTTGGGTTTGTAAATAATGCTGCACAAGTATCTGAGTCACTGCTTTCAATTCTTTTGGGCATATATCTAGAAGGAATTGTTGGATCATATAGTAATTCTGTATTCAACTTTTTGAGGACCCTCCCCCACCCCTTAATTACTAGAGGATTCTACCAACCTATGTAGTAAAATAACTCCTAGACCCTGAAGGCAGTGTTTGGAAATGCATGGCACCTAGTGAGCAGTCAATACTAAGTATTATTTAGGCTTCCTTAACAGTTCTCTGCCCCATGGTATGCCAAGTGTGGAAATAAAACAACCCAGTATATTTTCTGCTTAGGAAGTTTTGCCTATGAATTGATCTGGCCAGCAAGCAGATCTTTTAAGCTTAGATGCACATTAAGAGAAGTGTTCAGTAAGCCTCCCATTAACACATCCAATCAGAGATTGGCTATGTGTGATAGCAATGTTACTTTCAGAATTCTTTTAACTTTTAAGGAGAAGCCTGTTCTAGAGATAGTTTTTATATTATATACTGTGGGCAGCATTGATAATTATAAAAGGAGAGAATCTCAATAGTGCAGCTCAGGGATCCCCAACCCCTGGGCCATGGACCAGTACCGGTCCTTGGCCTTTTAGGAACCAGGCCGCACACCAGGAGGCGGGTAAGCTAGCAAAGCTTCATGTGTATTTGCAGCCGCACCCCAGCGCTAGCATCATTGCCTCAGCTCTACTTCAGATCATCAGGTATTAGATTCTCATAGGAGCACCAGTCCCTGGTACCAAAAAGATTGGGGACAGCTGCAAAGCTTATTGACTGTTTTCCCATGTCCATAACAGGTGACAGTTCGTGAGGCTATAAATCAAGGTATGGATGAGGAACTGGAAAGAGATGAGAAGGTATTTCTGCTTGGGGAAGAAGTTGCCCAGTATGATGGGGCATACAAGGTAACCAAGATATGCGATTGAAAGCTATATAAAATTGAAGTGACCATCTATCCCCAGATACACCTAAAAGTAATGAAGTCATTGCTTAATTGTAGGTTAGTCGAGGCCTGTGGAAGAAATACGGAGATAAGAGGATCATAGACACACCTATATCTGAGGTAAGCCTTCTATCAGGAAACAGACTGTTGAGGGGCATGTCAAAGTGTACACTGTTCTAATTTTGATGGATTTCACTTATGTTTGTATTTTACTTTATAGATGGGCTTTGCTGGAATTGCTGTAGGTGCAGCTATGGTATGCAATCTTCTTTATGAATCTCATCCAAAGAGATTTTTAACATGACCTTTTAAAAACATTTAAATGTTGGAGTAGAGTGGGTTTTTGCCCTTCTTCATTGCTATATTTAGTCTTTTTAATATCTATGTTTTTGTTTTTTCAGGCTGGGTTGCGGCCCATTTGTGAATTTATGACCTTCAATTTCTCTATGCAAGCCATTGACCAGGTTATTAATTCAGCTGCCAAGACCTACTACATGTCAGGGGGCCTTCAGCCTGTGCCCATTGTCTTCAGGGGGCCCAATGGCGCTTCAGCAGGTGTAGCTGCCCAGCACTCACAGTGCTTTGCTGCTTGGTATGGACACTGCCCAGGCTTAAAGGTGGTTAGCCCCTGGAATTCAGAAGATGCAAAAGGGCTTATTAAGTCGGCCATTCGTGATAACAATCCAGGTCAGCAGAGTGACCCTTAGATCTCTTATTTTTTTAAAAATTTATTTATTTTAATTAGTTTTAAGTATACAGTACGTTGGTTAGACATCTATATAGTTCATAAAACGATCCCCGCAATTGCTTCCTCCCTCACCTGACCTTCCACCTAGCCAACATGTTAATGCTAACTGCATACCCTATGCTGTTCTCCCCATCCCCGTGACCATCCTTCAGCTACTAACTTGTACTTCTTTAACCGTTCACTCTCTTCTCCCAACCTCTCCAACCCCCCGCTTCTGTCCGGCACCAAATTGTCCACTATAATTGTGAGTCTGTTTTTGATTAGTTCTTTTTATAACTTAGATTCCACATAAAAGTGAAATCGTGTAGTATTTATCTTTCTCTTTCTGACTTAAACACCTTCTAGGTCCATCAAAGCAATATCTTTTCCACCTCTTTCTTATAGTCTGTCTGTGTCTTTTAATCTGAAGTGAGTCTCTTATAGGCAACATTTAGGGATCTTGTTTTCCTTTCCATTCATCCATTCTGTCTTCTAGTTGGAGCACTTAATTCTTTTTCATTTGAGGTACTTGTTGACAGGAATGTAGTTGTTACCATTCTTTATTCCTGTTTTGATACATGTTTTTTCTTAAAGAAGTCCCGCCAACATTCCTGTAATACTGGCTTGGTGGTGATAAATTCCTTTAGCTTATTTTTGTCTGAGAAGCTCTTTATCTGTCCTTCAACTCTAAATGATAGCTTTGCTGGATAAATTGTTCTTGGTTTCGATCCTGGGTCTTCATCCTGTCGAATATTTTTTGCCAAGCCCTTCTGTCCTGCATAGTTTCTTTTGAGAAATCAGCTGCCAGTCTTATGGGTGTTCCCTTAAAGGTAATTATCTGTTTTGATGCTTTTAATATTCTTTCTTTGTATTTAACCTTTGGCATTTTAATTATGAAGTGTCTTAGTGTGGGCCTCTTTGGATCCCTGATTTTTGGAATTCTCTGAGCTTCCTGGGGTTTTATGTCCATTTCCTTCACCAGGTTCAGGAAGTTTTCCATCATTATTTCTTCAACAGCTATTCAGTATCTTGATTTTCTTCAGTTATGCCGATCAGCCAGATATTTGGATCCTTAATAGTGTCCCATGCTCTTTAAATTATTTTTATAGTCTTGGCATCTCTTGTCATTCTAATTGAGTGTCCTTGGCTTTCCCGTCCTCTAGATAGGGCATTTGATCCTTTTCCTTATTCACTTTGTTTATTCTGTTTAATATACTTCCCATCTCATATAATGTTCTTCATTTCAGACTGGTTCCCTTTTAAAATTTCTATTTCCATTTTTATGTTATCTCTTCATTGAAGTTCTCACTGAATTTATCTACACTTCCCAAAAGTTCATTGAGCATCTTTATAACCAGTGTTTCAATTCTGCATCTGTTAGATTACTCGACTCCATTTTATCTGGATCTCTCTGCTGTTCTCTCTTATGGCTTCTGCTTCTTTGTCTTCCCATTTTGGCTGCCTTTCCATGTCTGTTTCTATGTACTAATCAAAGCTCCTAAGTCCCCCTGTCTTATTAGTGTTGATTTGTGAAGTAGGTGTCTGTCTGTCCACTGCCACAGTCCTGAGAGAGATTCAGCTGCAGGCCAAACTTAGCCCAAGCCTCTAGCCCTCTGAGGCCACCTGTTAAGATTGAGCAAGCAATCCACAGATGCTGTGCTTATAGTTGCCTCAAAAGGCCAAGCCAGAAACGGAGGCCAGCTGCCTCCGATGTGAGTCTAGGCACTGCTCAGCAAGGAGCACCTGACTCACTGAAGATACACCTGGATGTGGCTTAGGTGGGGCCGCAAGTTGTGGGAAGCGGGGTTTCAGGGAATCCTCTGGGCGGAGCGACCTCTGTTACCCAGTTTGCTGATGTCCCAGCTGTGGTGGTGCTGTGTCTGTACTGGGAGTGGGGAGGGCTCAACAGGGAACAATGCATCCGCTGGCACTTTTGTACAGAGCGAATTTCGCCTCAGCCTTCACTCCAACAATGTCTCCCTGTAAGTCCCTGGTGCCCCCTGCGTGCAGCCGAATTGGCACTGGTGCTCAGAGCGAGCAGGTTTGTCACCGCAAAAATCTGCTCGTAGGCAGGCCCCCTTTAAGAGGTGTCTGTATCTACCGCTGCCGCAACCTCGTCTCACTCAGCCACTCGGGACCAGGCAGCCCCACATCCTTGCCCCATCCTATCTTCTGCCATTGTGGGGTGATTTCTTGGACTTCTCCCTAGTTATATGGCTTGTTCATCTAGATCCCAGGCGATTTTTCCTTGCTGCTTGCTCTTTGTTTCCGCCACAGAGGGATAAACAGCCTGTATTGTCGTTAGCCCCCTCCCCACCCCCGGGTCTCTTTTGAACATCAAAGAACTAAAATGAAATCTTTGCATAGAAGGCACCAATAAAGGCTTTTAACTAAGTTTAGCCACATCACATAAAATGTTAATGATTTACAGATATAGTAAGAATAGTAAAAAATGTGATGGTTTATTTTCTGACTGTAAGGGGGCCAGCTAGGTAAGGGGGACATTTATTGCATACCTACAACACTGGTTTAACCTCAATAGATAAAATTAGGATTGACCAGACTATAAATGTTGGTACCTAAACCATCCTCAAGGCTACTGGACACAATAGAAACAAAACTTCCTAATCAGCACAGTGAAACTTTTCACAAAATAAATGATAGTGTTGTGTATATGTTTTTATGTACTTATGTTTAAATATTTTTATTTTGCAGTGGTGATGCTAGAAAACGAATTGATGTATGGAGTTCCTTTTGAATTTCCCTCGGAAGCTCAGTCAAAAGATTTTCTGATTCCCATTGGAAAAGCCAAAATAGAAAGGCAAGGTAAGAGAACTTGTTATACATTTAAACATTGTTTGTAATCCATCCCCTCTGTTTGTGTTAGTCAAATTCAATCTAAATATTGCTCTTTACTTTAGGAAATTATAGGATGAGTTCAAGTTAAGAATGCGTCATACTCTAATACCTCATACATTTGTGCTTTTCTAAATCTAAGTCCAGTAGATTTGAATTTCATTTCTAGGAAGGCTACCACATTCCTCTTATCACTGGAATGAAGCTCAGTTGAAGATTTTACAAATGAACTTAATTTTAATCTGACCTCTGATCTGTGACCACTTTGTTTTCAGGGACACATGTTACTGTAGTTTCCCATTCAAGACCTGTGGGCCATTGCTTAGAAGCTGCAACAGTGCTTTCTAAAGAAGGAATTGAATGTGAGGTTAGTGGAAATTCACTTGTTCTTAAAGAATCAGAAAAGTTCCTTTTAAATTTAAGATCCAGAAATAGGAGTTTCAGTTTTGTAACAGGTTAACTAGATGTAAAATCTTCATCACTCAGTTCTGCCTCTGCTTAAAGCTGAGAACCTACTTTTCAAATATCTAGGTTAAGATCCAACCTTGGAGCTGGAGGTTGGGAGAGAAGTCAAAACAAGTCTAACTCATTCATGTCTAGGACCTACCACTTGCTAATTACACTTGAGCAAGTTATGTACCCTAAATCTCAGAACACTTGGAGTGACAGGAGCTTAGAAAGAACAGAGGACATAGTTCCATAGTGTAGCGGTTAGCACGTCTGTTTTACACGCAGAAGGTCCTGGGTTCGCGCCCCAGTGGAGTCACGGTCCACGTTCTACGGCCATGTCACCTGGAACAAGCCCAATGTCTAATCTTGGAAAGTAAACAGTCAGGCCTGGTTAGTACCTGGATGGGAGACTACCTAGGAAGACCAGGTGCTGTAAGCATAAAAAACAAAACAAAACAAAAAACGAACAACAGAGAAGGGAGAGCTGGCGGCTATAGAGAGCAGAGTGGGAATAATACACTTACTGTCCCTTCAGGATAGTTCTAAGAATTACACTTCGTGTTGTGCCTGATACACAATAAGCAGTCAAATGTTAGTTATTATTTTGATGAGAAGGAAGTTAAAGCCAAGGGAGGATAGGTGAATTCGGTAAGTTAATAAGAACTGCTTGCTGTAGAGATAAAGATCTTTGTTTTAATTACAATTTCTCCTTTATGAATAGGCAGATTAGATTTTCCTAGACCCAGAGATTAATAGGAAACAAAAAAGAAAGTGGAATTATGGGGATAAGGCTGTATTTGTGATACAGTGACTCTATAAAGCTTACCTATTATCTGTTTAGGTGATAAATATGAGAACCATCAGACCAATGGACATTGAAACAATAGAAGCCAGTGTCATAAAGACCAATCATCTTGTAACTGTGGAAGGAGGCTGGCCACAATTTGGAGTAGGAGCTGAAATTTGTGCCAGGATCATGGAAGGTATTTCAGAGAAACTGGTTTTAGAATAGTCAAGCCGTATTAAACATTGTATACCTGAATACTGGATAAAGATATCGAAAGCTAAGGGTGGCCAAATAACTAGAATTTTCAACTTGTCAGCTTGGCATTTTTCTTTTGAGTAAATGCATTAAAAAGCAAAACCAGAACAAATTCCAGTTAGCATTCTTTTAGCTTTTGACTGGTCTTCAGGAAGCCACACCTCTTGTGCACAGGAGGTAATGTTCAGGGCTTTTCTTGCCTCTCTCAGTTGAGCTTCCTTCTCTCCTAGGCCCTGCATTCAATTTCCTGGATGCGCCTGCAGTTCGTGTCACTGGTGCTGATGTCCCTATGCCTTATGCAAAGATTCTAGAAGACAATTCTGTACCTCAGGTTAAAGACATCATATTTGCAATAAAGAAAACATTAAATATTTAGTTTTGACTTGAATTTCAAGTCATTTGGGATCTATTTAAAATATTTGCTGATACCACCTGGGTTGTACTATAAGACCTTATGATTCATAAATGTTTTTGTACTTGAAGAAGTTTAAATGTGCTTGTATGTGGAAATCTCTCCATTATTTCCTGCCCTAAAATGTAAAATTTTACCCTCTCACTGGAAGGACAAGATATGATTGTGGCAGAGTCCCGATGAAAGATATATCCAAAAAAGACAGCTTATGTGTAAAAGTAAAAGCATATAATCTACATTTACTGTTAGATTGTTTTGATAAGGAATAAAGGAATTCCTAACTGACTAATTGTATTTTTATATCCTTGAAAATAAATATGGAGTGGAAGTCTATTAAGAAATTTGTGTCATCAGGAACTAATCATTACTCACCTAGACCTCATCATACTTAAAACAGGAACTTGTCTAGACTCTTCAGATGCCTAATTCTAATAGGATTCTCTTTAAAATTAAAGCAAAATTCATATCAGGTATTTTCCCATTGCCCAAAAACAGACCTGCCATACACTGCCTTCTCCAGAAGTTGAGATGGAAAAGACAGGTTTAAATTAGTTACAGAAGCATACAAGAGATACCTAATTTAGCAAGACACGATTATTAACTCTTATTAAGAGGGAAAATATGGCACAACAGAAATAGGATAGTGGGAAGAAAATTTTGGAAATACTGTGTGGATCTGGTCTTTACAAAAACTACTACAAAAAGTTACTATTTGAAATATTTAGCCAAGCTACAGACAACACGTTTTCTTGACATGGTTTATTTTAATAAAAAATACAGCTGAACATTTATCACAGATTACATGAAACTATAGACAATGACATTCTCTCTGCATAGTAACCAACACTGATGTGTGTACTTGAATTTTTAAATGGATTATTTATAATCCTTTAAAGTGCAGTTTATTTAAGGGTTTAAGCAAATCATAGGATAAAGGATCTAATAAATGAGTAACATTTAAAGATGATGTATTTGAATATTTCAAAAATCAGAATTCTATAGATGCCAAATTCACTTGTGTTGTAATAATAATCCCCCACAAACCACAAACTCGACTTAATTGCTGAGGAGTAAGATCCCCTAATTGGCAAGAGCTTTATCTGATGCTAACATTTTTTGTCTGTTCATACATTCTAACTATAAGGAACTATGAGTAGAGTAGTTACTTTAGCAGCCCTGAGTTCTATAATGACAACAGTATTTCTGTTAGAACTTAGAGAATGTTACAAATTTTCCCTATTGTATTTGAAGGGAAAATGAAGAACTCAGTTGCTTCCTTGACTCTTGTGATACAACTATGCTTTGGGCTACAGTGTTAATGTTTACGATGAAATTAAGATAGCAAAAATTGGGAGTTTTCTAAGAAATAACCAGAAAATGCTTTAGAGAAATAAACCATGAGAGGAACATCTCTAGGAGCTGTCTGATGGGAAGGATTGCAACACAAAGGCCATTCACAGCTGTCCGAATATTGTCATTGTTTTTGTTCTTGTTCATTTCCTTCAGTTGGTAAAAATATTGATTCTAATATGCTGCTGCCCCAAAAAGATGGCCATTAGAGGATGAACAAGACTCTTTTAAAATAGTAATAAAGGAGCAAAATTTTTCTTAAGGCAGCAATGCCAGCCTGATTTTAATCTACTTGACTATTTTCCTCTTGAAAAGCCCCTCACATGAGCATCTGCAAAACAGTATGTGGCTGAACTGGCTCAGCAATTATTCATCCGGGAAGAGGGTACTTTAAGGGTTGGAGGTGGGAAGAAGAAGAAAAGAACTTTTCCCTCCAAGTGTAAACACGAAGCTTTAGCCGATCTTAGGAGCACTATGATCACAGGTTTCGGCTTTCCTCAAAGTTCCTTTTTGGAAATTCTGGATGGAGCTGAGTAAGGCCCCTCGGCTCAAGCCATTCACAGCCTGGGGCAGGAGCTGTGTGGGCGCCTCTGTGCTAGAAGGAGGCAAGGGAGCTGCTGGTGGTGGTGGAGGTGGAGGTGGAGGTGGAGGTGGAGGTAAAGTGGAAATCCCTGTGGAGGAAAAGAGACAGTCAGCATCATTTCTCCAAACACCCTGCACACATGCCACTGCTCAGCCTTGGGCAGACTGGACTTTGGTGAGACCGCAAGTGTTTTCCCCCACAGAGACCAACATACCCACTGCTGTATGACTTTTAAAATACTGAACAAGAAAGCTAGAAGCATCAAAAGGGAATTTAGAGGTTGCCATTTATCCCAAATAGGAGTCATGTGAGAAAAGACTGAACAAATATCACAGATCACATCAAGCTATACATAGTGACATTCTCAGCATAAAAGAGGCTCTAACTCCATTTCCAAATTTTAGTAATGGTCCCCAAAGAAAAGTTCTATCACTACGGCCATGCCATCCTGAACATGCCTGATCTCGTCTGATCTCGGAAGCTAAGCAGGGTTGGGCCTGGATAGTACTTGGATAGGAGACCACCTAGGAAGACCAGGTGCTGTAAGTGTTGGAAGGAAGGAGGGAGGAAAGGATGGAGGGAGGGAAGGAAGAGAGAGAGAGAGAGACAGAGACAGAGACAGAGAGACAGAGAGAGAGAGAGAAGAAAGAGAAAAGAAGAAGAAAGAGAAAAAGAAAGGAAAAAGAAAAGGAGAGGGAAAGGGAAGGAAAGGGAAAGGGAAGGGAAGGAAAGGGAAGGGAAGGAAGGAAGGAAGAAGGAAGAAACAAACAAAAGAAAACTTCTATCAGCTCTTTAGCCAGGTCCCAGACAGCCCTATCTACTCCTGAGCTAGCAATTAAAGATAGACACCTGTATGCACAGAGTTGGGCTACCTGAATATCGATTAATAATAAGGGATAAACAGTTCTTTAGCTGCTCCAACACACACAATATTTGAAAGATGTGATTTAATATAAAATGACAAACCACTCAGGATTCTTGGCAAGGAATCCTTGCCAAGTGCCTGCTGGGTTATGGGCTCCCCAGGGGCATCTGTCTCAAATAATCATTTCCTATTAGGCTGCATTAAAAAATATAAAAAACTAAAAATTATTGCAGTGCAAAGCAGGTGGTAAAGGGCTTTCTCTCCCCAGCAATAGCACTCTCAGGGAGGAGACTTCCTCAAGCACCCTTCTTTCCACTGTGGCCCAACCCGGGAACAGAATGGAACCACATTAACCCTACATCTTTGCTGACACATCGAGAGAGACTGGAATGCTGAGCTCTACCCCAGTGAGCAAGGAGAAGGGAACTGGACAGGTGTCTGAAACTTCCCTTAGCTTCTGGACACACAAACATTTGGCACTTGAATTTTACAGTTTTGAATTAATAAATGACTTGTTCTCCCAGGTTGAAATAAACACTGAATACAGAAAAAGCCCTGCTCTGAAGAACTTGCCTGTGTCACAGAGTTGTCCCACTTTCTGTTAACTTGCAGCTCTTGATACCTCTACTCATCTGCTTCTAGTCTTTCCTTCTACCCCTTCATAGGGCTACACAAGGGAGACATTCTGCTAGGTGGTCCCTCCTCTAAACTACTGAGCTGTGATGTTAACAGGTAAACATACCAATCATCACTTGAGTTTATATGAATGAGTGGTTCAGGATCACCAATAAAATACATAAGTGCATGACAAGCAATGGTTAAGGTATGATAGGTAATGGTTAAAGTCTTGTGTTTCATAGAAAACGACTTACCTTCCTCTACATCTTTACCCAAACCTAAGGCAGCTGAAATTAAAGAATCATACAGAGACACACACTCATGCACTGTAATCTCAGAATTCTCAAATAACAGTGATATAGCAATAGAAATGAACATTAAATACAGACAAATGAACAAAATGTAATTTCCGTTGGTATTATACAATAACAAATAACATGAATGAAGTTTGATTATGTTCTATGCCAGGGTGGATTGTGAGAAAATGCTCCTGGCTTTATGTTACAGGGTTACAAAGATAAAAAGGACTTTAAACCTGAAATGAGTGTTGAGGTGAGAAGAGCAGGGAGAATAAGTGTGTGATATAAGCTTTCCCCTGAATGGGGTTTCTGGATAGTAACCAGTGAAATACCAGGAAGAGTGGAGATCGCCTCTGAAGGCTCTTGGAACTTAATGCAGCACAGAGAGAGTCTGGAAGAGTGAGCAGGCACCAATACCAACCCCCTTCCACCCAAAGACCAGAAAAAGGCAGCAGAATCTGAACCTGACCTTCAGGGCCTAATATGCATCAGATAACCATCAGTGTTTCTGCCTTCCAGCTCTGTGCTTTGAACCTGGCAGAAGAGTCACTGCATTAGAGATGAGAAGACAGGCTGTGGGCTGCAATAGCACTTGTGTCCTAAAGGCAAAACACTGGCCGTCCAGAGACTGATACACCTTCAGCCTAGGATTCTGGGAAGCTAAAAATGGGTCTTGGGGGCTGAACTTGGGTATGGGTTGCCATCTCAGCACAGAACAAAACTGCTTGGCCTTCACAAGGAACCAACCCTTGACACTCTAGCCCTACTACCAGGTGCTCAAACTTAAAGGTGTAAATTCACTACCATAGAGTTTGGGAGTTGGGGATGATGTCCGGTAAATGGATCTTCATTTTCCAAGTAAAGGCTGAGATTGTTACCACTTTCAATAAATCTCTGAATATGTTAGTGTAAATAAACACACTGTCCGAAGTGCCACAGGGTAACCTGTGTCTATAAAGCAAATGGAAGGCTGAGGGCTGTGCGAAAGGCAAGGCTGCTCATCCAGGGGCACAGAGGAAGGTCACCTGATGTCTGCTCACAGAGGGCTGAATCAATCTTAAACAGCCTAATGTCCCATGAGGTCTACTTTTCCTCACTGAGCCCATGAGAACCAGGGCAGATCTCTATGTGCACAATTAGGGGAAGGGAGGTTGGAACTCAGCTCGCTAGCTCAGGGCACTCTGGGAGGGGAGCGAAGTTCCAGGAGTCAGAAGGTCAATGCTGGAGGAGGCAGGAACACAGACCCAGGGACTCAGTCTCTGAATACAAGCTCCATCTTTTTTTTTTGCTTTTTGCTTTTCCTTTTTGCCTTTTCTATGGTCCACAAGCTTCCTTGAAAGGTTCATTGGGGCTTAAGTTACAACACATTATTAACAATGGGGGGAAGGGAGGAATGTTAACAAGGGCCAAATTCAGAGTTTGCTGTTTGGCCTGTGACAAACCTGAGAACAACTGTGAAATGCCTGCACTCCCCTACTCCTCAAATGTGAATGAGCTGCTCTCCAACAAGAGGCCTCCAAAAGCCCTTATCCCCCTTTCCTTATCCCCAGGCCGCAGACAAAACTGGACAGAGTCCATGTTAGATTGATTACTACCTGAATTCATACAGCTTTGAAAAATATTGGTCTATAACAACCCAGGATGAGGAATGCTCTAAAACAGCGTATCTACAATTATAACCAGGTCAGCCCTGATCTCTCCAATCTTACTTCCTCTTAGACAAATACCCCAAGAGCCAACTACTCTACCCTTCCCAGAATCCCATCCACCAAACCAACTGGGAGACTGGCAATCCAGCAGGGGCTCTGGAACAGGCCATCGACTATTGCAGCAAGAGCATTAACAGCTTAGTTCTAGGGGAGAAACACCTTGCCAGAAACATCCTCGCCAGCCTTGTAGAAGGGATGTCTAAGTGTCCCCTTTCCTTGGGGACAACTTAGCAGGGGCAACCTACAAGTGTCTTGGTCCACACAAAGAGGTGGGGAGGCCACAGGGCCACCACACCAACACCAGACCTGTCAGCTACCCTCAAGAGGGAATGGAGAGCAGTGACCCCTGGAAGCAGGCAGCACGCAGTTCTTGTCAACTGCCTTTGCCTTTGCATCAAACGGACGAGGAGGCTGCACTCATGTCTCAACTCAAGAATTATTAAGGATGCTTAAAAAAGAACCATTTCTCCCTGTTGCCAGGTATAAAAGACAGTAAGTTGTCTCTCCATAACCAAGAACTCAATCGCCTAATACCCTTTCCTCTTCATCAGAATAACAAAGAACCAACATTTTCGCAGCAACAAAATGTTTTGAGATCCTAGTTTCCAAAATCAAAATATACCAAAATGCCATACAGTTGATTTGCAGGTTTTAGAGCTATATTTTAAAACTAAAATCAGGGTGAAAATGAAAATTTTGAAGGTCATGATGAAAATGAAATGAATGTAAATGAAGTCACGTGGGTGCTTTTTAAAGATGCTGTATTTCATTTAAATATTCAGATAAGGAAATCATCTCAAATCTGCTTTCCCATTTGTTAGTCATTTCAGTGATCTAGATACACTAGTTCCCATTTCACCAACAGAAACAGAGCATCTTTAAAGTTAGAGAAATCAGTATAGCTTACTTTACCGAAAATTCACGTTCAAAATGGTGCATGCTCTACTGAAAACAGCAAAGAGAAAGAGAGAAGGGACACAAGTCATTACTCAGATTTTAGTGTCATTTAATCAAATAGTAAGAGACAGTAAAATATTAGTCTGAATTACATGCTGATTATTCTCACTGCCAAACTAGGAGATACTTAAGTTAAGCACTAAACGAACTGTTATGTAAACACGATTGTGACCCCTTCAGAACATGGCAAACATACTAATATGATAATCAATGAGTCGCTTTCCTTGTTCTTTTTTTTTTCTGTTTCTGAGCCAATTAGATGTTATTTTTCTTTATTTACAAGCACAACACTCACTTCAAAAGACCCACGAAGGTTTTACCTCCTCTGAAAAGTGGAACGGGTACTGGGAGTATATTTAGTCCTATTACTAAATAAAGACAGTTTATCAAGAGGGGAGAAAAATTAGAACTCACCACTTTTTTCCAAGCAAGACTCCTACAGTCTAAAATGGAGACCTGTCTTTTCAAAGTTGGGAAGGGCAAGAGCACAGGTGTCAGGTGGAGCTCCTGGGCAGGAGCATGTGGGCGCCCCTCCCCTGAAGTCTGCTGGGTCTAGAGTCTGAATCGGGCAGTGAGTGGCATTAGCTTACTTAAGGCTGTAAAACTATTTAAAAAACAAAAACAAAAACGAGGTAAACATTTCTCCTGTCTTCTTTTTAACTGACTAAATTTCAGGCGAGATATGAAGGATAACACTTTCACTGACGGTGAATCCCAGAGTTCCTAATGAACCAATCTGCCCCACTGCCTGGATGCCTGGAAATAATCCCTTCCTCTGGGGAGAGGCCAGGACATGAGGCCCATGTGGGACCGGTTTGGCAGACCACTCACACAGTGCAGCTCTGGGAGCATGCTGGGGATACTTCCTGCCCCATCCCCTTCCCACATCAGCTGAGGGCTCTGGGGAGGGAAGGAACTCAGACACTTGGGTTTGGAGTGGGGTGGGGAGGGCTGTGGGGGACAGGAAAACAAAAACAACTCACTGTTCAGGGAAGCACCGAGGGCAGACCTGTTCATCCCAAAGATGGCGACCGCTTTGTGTACATGTAGGTTTTGATCAAAATTCTTATGGCCAGAGACATTGATTTTGAACCTAAAATGGGTTTCACACTTTGATTTGGCTACATAAATTCTGGAAACTCTAACATTCTAAATAACTTCATCTCTTTTTTGTGTGCCTTATTTATTCTTAACCCTCCTTCCTGTGATGGAGCTCTCAGTCACTCGGTGTCCATAAGGCTATGTTTTCCCTCCTCCAGCTCCCATCCAGATATGAAACTTTTCTCTCTCTCCAGTCAGTCTTACAGACTGGTTTTCTACAAACTGCCAGCTCTCTTCAAAATTACCGCTTACAATTATAAACTGCAAGCCGGAAGGGCTAGAATTCTTTTGCAGGGCATTCATAGCTTATACCTGATAGTATTTTTATTGCTTATAAAGCATTGTCACGTACATTATCTATCTAATAAAGACCAGGAAGGTTTTTTAAAGACAGCTTTAAAGAATGGAAATTACTTACCCAAGGTCACAGCTGGAAAGTGGAGGAACTAAGTAAGACCCAAGCCTAGGGTTTCTGCCTCTACTTTCAGGGTGCTTTTCACATCAGCCAAGCACAGCTGTGAACTGCACCCAAGAGAGCAGGCAGAAAATAAAGACTGGAAGGGTAAATGAGCAAAGACAGAGCCAGGTCTGAATCCTGGCTCTGGCGTCCCCCACTTGTGTGACCTTGGTCAAAGTCCTTTAATCCCTCTAGAGCCTCAGTTTCTTTGTAAAATGGAGCTCTACTAGAATCCATTCTCCTTGGATAGTAAGGTATCCATGAGGATTAAATGAAACAATCACAATAAAGCACTTAGAACAGTGCCTAGCACAAAATAAGTGCTCAAAATATGTTCAATGTGATTATTAAAAACGAGAATCTAGGATTTCCTGCTTACTTAGCTTTCCCAAAATACTCTTTGCAAACCCGTTTAAAAATTTTTTAAAAACACAAAAGCAAGGCAGCAGGCCTGCCTGCTCCCAAAGGGAGGCTTGGGGAGGAATATTTGTGTGTGTGTGTAAATTAGGACCTTCTAAACCACTCAGCTCTATGAATTCAGAATGTAAATACTAGTTGGTGACATTTACCATGAAATATGTCAGGATAAAGAATTTTAAGGTTCTTGAAAGAGTGACCTTCTAGAGGCAGGAAACAACCTTTAGCAGGAAAAAAAAAGGCTAGGAATATTCTGAGAAAAAAAAAAGTTTGAGAATCTCATCCCACCTAATGAAACTGCCAGCAGACTTAGGGAAATGATAGCTCTCCCACCAATTTGAGAAGGAGCTGAAAAAGGGGCCCCAGGGCAGATAGGCACAGTAAAACAGGACAGGCCCCAGCTCTTACACACATGCTGAAAAGGGCTCATGAGAATAAGACGCCTTCAATTAGAAACATGTCACTTCTGCCTCATCTTAAAAGTAGCTAAGCTTACGACTACCCTCGGCTACCACGAATGTGATTAAAATTAACTCTTTTCAGGAAGAAAGGCAATGCTGTCTAAATGAAGTTGCCTAAGTTAATTTATTGCTGAACAAACTGCCAAAGGGAGCATCCACAGTAGATTTAGAGTATTCTTGATGAGAAGAAAGTGTGAGATAGTCTTCTCTAACTCCCACCCTTTTGCCTTTTACAGAGGAGGTAATGAAAACCCAGACTTGGAAAGTGACTCACTCATTCAAGGTCTCCCGGTAACAGTGTACTGTGTGCGGGCACTGTTCTAACCTCGTAAGCACTGGATCCTGTTAGTAACCTGACAAGGCAGGCACTGTTATCCTCATTTACAAAGAGAAAACCTGAAACCCAGGGAGGTTAAGTGTCTTGTCCAAGGTCCCAGGACTAGCATGTGGTGGCTCTCAAGTTTAGGCTCCCTGGCCCAAAGTGCAGTTCCCAAGAGCTCCCAATTGAGTTGTGTTTGAGATGGCACATTTATCAGGAATTCTTTTTTAATACGAGCCCTTGAAAATGAAAACTTTTTCTTCATTTCTTGAGAAAATTGCATTTCATCATAAAGCTGGAAGATACTCTCTTTGACTTAGTTCCCAGATAGACCATAAACTTGGCCTAGAAGTAAAGACATAAATTGGAGTAAATGTGACTCCAGCAACAAGATGGGCAGTGTGTGGAGAGACAGCAGGAAAGATAAGCCCAATGAGAAGCCTGGCCTCCTGTCCTGGGAAAAAAGACCAATCTAAGCAGGGTCTGACAAGCCAGAAGTTGCAACCCGTAGGCCGAGAGTCTACCCTAACCCAGCAGAGGCCTTGAAGGCACAGCAAGCCTAAGCAACCCACCCACAAGGATATACCGAGCATCTCCCATGGGTTCAGCATGAGGGCTACCATCTATTTTGTAGTCTTGCACAGAACAGAAGCTCAAGCTGCTGCTTGTTGGTGGACTAGTTTTTAAGGTGGAGTCTCTGTTTAGGGAGGGGCACTATTACCATGGTCAGACTCCAAGGAAAGCATTTGTTTGAATTGTGTCTATCATTTTGGTGCTCCCAAGAGGTGCTGGAAATAGGACTCAACTCCAGCTGCGGCCTTATCTGTAACCCAGGGTCAAGCACAGTGTCTGGCATCCTATAGGATCTCAATAAATGCATCTTGAGTAACTAAATGAATAAACTCACTGTGGGTACCCCACTTAGGGCCTCAAATGCTAGGTTGACAGGCCAATGCTAGTTATCATTTTCATGAGATGCATTACAATAAATGCCCAGCAGAGGTCAGAGCACTGTCTTTGGGGCTAAGTTGATAATTTCATTAACAAAACATTAAAGGAGATAAAAGAAAGAAGGAGCCAAGAAACTCATCTCTGCTGGCATTGTGCTTGAGGCCTCACGTATGCTTTCCCTTCAAATGCTTATGACTCCCCTTCAAGACAGATGTTATCAAATTCACAGCAATGACCCCCAACCGCTCCCACTCACCTCGGTTTTTCCAACATTGACTAATTACAGGATTCCGCTTTTTCTTCTCCTCTCATTCTAAAAATTACCTCATCTCATGCAAACCTGCTACTGTATGAGATAGCTCCCATTCAAATCACAGGTAAATTAGAGAAGTCACACACACACACACACACACACACACACACACACACACACGCACACGCACACACCCCCCCTCCAATAGATTGTGAATTCCCCAAGCCGTTTAAAAAATGAGAAGTGGCAGTTGATTTCCCAGGACCACATCTAATGCACATGGCGAGGTGTTCTATGCTCTATACTACTAAACAGACACCTCGTTTGTTAAAGGAGGGTTTTATGGAGACTCACTATTAATTCTCTCCAATTTCTTTAATATGTCTAAGTGGTGTGAAACCAATATCCTATCTACTAAAAAATGGCCTGATGTGATCTGGGCAGTGGATCTCCAGAAATTTCTGATCAGCCCATATAGGGCACCACTACAAAGATAAAGAAGTCTATTTTCTGTCTTGATCAATATTTGGGGGCTTTCTTGTAAAATCTACTGACAAAATCAGACAGAGAAAAGAATATCATTCCCATGACCTACTCAAAATCAGCCTTGGCCCCAGCACAGTCTGCAACAAGCTACCAGTGACTACCTTTAGCCAGCAAAGAGACACCTGCCAGCCGGAAGTAAGTTGTTCAAATTAGCCCCTTACATGCGCTTGCTTTTTGTTGTTGTT